ACTTCCTAGCTGTGAGACCCTAGGCAAATCATTTAACCCTGTTTGCTTCAGTTTCCTCATCTATAAAACGAGCTGGAGTAGGAAATGGCAAACCACTTCAGTATCTTTGCCAAGAAAACCTCAAATGGGGGCATGAAAAGTCAGACATAACTGAAACAAGTGAACAATAACAATAACAACAAAAGTTAAATACAAGCTGGTTAGGTAGAAATGGCATTAACACTTGGGGAGATGAGGAAAGGTTTCAAGTAGAAGGTGGTGCTTGATCTTCATCTTGAAGAAAAAGAGGCATTCTATGAAGCAGATTAAGGATGAAGTGAATTCCAGGCATGGAGGAAGTCAAGTGAAAAGGGAAGAAGAAAGGGGCAGATAGACCCCAGGAACACCATGACACTAGGCACTCTCATCTTCAGTCTTTGAAAAGAGTATTGACCTTGAATTTTGTATATCTGCTCCTCCTCAAATACTGTTGGCCTAGAGGTATGAATCTGAGTCCAGAAGGAAAGCTACATTTCTGGTCGTTTGTAAGGGGAGAAAAGCCCTTGGCTTATACTCTCGTTTAGCACTTTTCCAGCCAACACTCATCTTATAAAAGACCATCACAACGAACAAATAGCAAGTAAACTCATTTAGCCAAGAAAATCGATAAATGGAAGAAGTCCAACAGATTAAAATACACCAGAAAATATACAAAAGTGAATTAGTTCTTTAGGTGGGAATGAAATAATGTCTCAGCTCCAACCAAGGCGGGGGGCCTGATCTCAGCCGAGGATGTCCATTCTAGCAAGCTCAAAGGAGGCAAGTTGCCCGTGATGAGGATCCAGCTACTGCTGTTCATCTGCTGCTTTTCTCTCCATATGTCTCTCACAGAGTCTCTGGAACCACATGTCTGCCTGGAGGTGCTCTGGTACCAAACCTATAAGTACTATATCCTGATGCACAGCATTTCCTCACACTCAGCATGTTGACCACCAATGCAGACATATCTCCTTAATTCATACACAACACACAGACGCCCCAGGATTGGTTGGAAGCCCATTTATGTTTCCTTTTAATCCTCCTTTCAGGATCAGGAAGTTGGCTTTGCTTAAAACTATTTCCTTTATAGTATTAGCTTCCCCTCCCCCTAGTTGTATCACTTGATTCCTGCTCCACCCACCTTTTCCTCCATGTTTGTGTACTCTTCTCATGCACTACAATTATGAGAAATAAAAGAGGTTCTACCCCACACACCCTTTTTCCTCTTTTCTCCACTAGAATATTTCCTTTCTTGGTTATATGGCTCTTGATTAATTTTTCTATCAGTTAATGCTCCTCAATACCTGTTTCATGTAACATTTACTAACTGTGGCTATCTGCTTTCTCATTTAAGTGGTTCCATGGATAGAGAGCTGGGCTTGGAGTCAGGGAGACCTCAGTTTCATTACACTTACTAGTTGTGTGACCTTGGGCAAGTCACTTAACCTCTGTCTGATTCAGTTTCCCCACTTCTAAAATGAGAATAATAATAGCACTTATCTTCCAGAGTTGTTGTGAGGATAAAATGATAGATTTGTAAAGCACTTTGCAGACCTTAAAGAACTATATAAATACTATTATTATTATTATTATTATTATTATTATTATTATTATTATTATTATTATTATTATTATTATTATTATTTAGTGATCCCACAAGCTTTTGTGGGATCGATTAGCTTCTCTATGCTGATGAATCTCAGATTTATATATCTAGTCCTCTGGTCCTCTCTGCGTCTCTCTGTTTCTATCTCTTTGTGTCTGTCTGTCTGTCTGTCTCCCCTCTCTCTCTCTCATCTTGTATTACCAATTGCCGATCGGGCATTCCCACAATCATCTCAAACTCAAACTCAAACATCCAAAACTAGAACTCATTATCTCCATTTCTCCCCTTCTCCAAAACCACCCCTCTATTGAACTTCTTTATTTCTGTCAAAGGTACAAACACCCTTCCAGTCGCTCAGCTTTAAAACCTTGGTATCATTCTTTCTGATACCCTCACTCATTCATTATATCCAATCAGTTATCTTTTCTGCCTCCAAAAAATCCCTCACAATATGTCCTCTTCTCTGCACTCATCATTCTAAGAACTTCAACAAAGTTTCAGGATATAAAATAAATCCACCTAAACCATTAGCATTTCTACATGTTACTTACAATATCTAGCAGGAAGAGATAGAAATAGAAATGCCATTTAAAATAACTACAGATAATATAAAATATCTGGGAGTCTACCTGCCAAGACAAACCCAGGAACTATAAGAACACAACTACAAAACAGTTTTCACACAAATAAAGTCAGATCTAAACAGTTGGAAAAATAATTGTTGCTCACAGATATACCACGCCAATGTAAGAAAATGACAATTCTACCTATATTAATTTATTTATTCAGTGCCATATCAATCAAACTACCAAAGAATTATTTTATTAAGCTAGGAAAAGTAATAACAAAATTCATCTGAAAGAACAAAATATCAAGAACATCAAGGGAATAATGAAAAAATATGAAGGAAAGCAGCCTAGCTGTACCAGATTTCAAACTGTATTGTAATAACGATGAAAACAACCTGGTATTGGCTAAGAAATAGTATAATGGATCAGTGGAATAAATTAGGTACACAATACACAGTAGTAAATAATCATAGTAATGTAATATTTGATAAACTCAAAGATCTAGGCTATTGGGACAAAAAGCTGCTATTTGACAAAAATTGTTGGGAAAACTGGAAAGCAGTTTGGCAGAAACTAGGTATAGACCAACATCTCATACCATATACCAAGATAAGGTCAAAATGGGCATATGATTTAACATAAAGGATGATGTCATAAGTGAATTATGGAAACATGAAAAAAATTACCTATTAGATCTATGGGCAAGGGAAGAGTTTTTAGCAAAACAAAAGCTAGAGAAGACCACAGAAAGTAAAAAAGATAATTTTGATTACATTAAATTAAAATAAGATTTTGCACAAACAAAACCCAGTGCCGCCAAGATTAGAAGGAAAGCTGGAAAATGGGGGCAGGGGATTTACAGCAAGTTTCTCTGTTAAATGCCTTGTTTCTTAAATAGATAGGGAACTAAGCCAAATTCATAAAAACACAAGTCATTCCTTAATTAATAAGTGGCCAAAAGATATAAGCAGACAGTTTTCAGAAGAAGAAATCAAAATTTATAATCATATGAAAATATTCTAAATCACTATTGATCAGAGAAATGCAAATTAAAATAACTTTGAGATACTACTTCATACCTATCAGACTGGCTACCATGACAGAAAAGGAAAATGACAAATGCTAGAGGAGATGTGGAAGAAATAGGACACTAATTCACTGTTGTTGGAGTTGTGAAATGGTCCAACCATTCTGGAGAAAAATTTGGAACTATGCCCAGAGAGCATTAAAATTGTATATATCCTTTGATCCAGCAATACCACTACTAGGTCTGTATCCCAAAGAGATCAAAGGAAAAGGAAAAGGACCTCAATATACCAAAATATTTATAGCAGTTCTTTTTGGTGGTGGCAAAGAATTAGAAATTGAGGGATGGCCATCAATTGAGGAATGGTTGAACAAGTTGTGGTATATGATTGTGATGGAATACTATTGTGCTACAAGAAATGACAAGCAGAGGGGCAGCTAGGTGGTGCAGTGGATAAGCACTGGCCCTGAAGTCAGGAGGACCTGAGTTCAAATCTGGCCTCAGATCAAACACTTGATACTTACTAACTGTGTGACCCTGGGCAAGTCACTTAACCCCGATTGCTTAAAAAAATATTTTTTTAAAAAAAGGAAAAGAAATGACAAGCAGGATGGTTTCAGAAAAACCTGGGAAGACTTGCATGAACTGATATAGAGTGTGGTGAGCAGAATTAGAAGAACGCTGTACACAGTAACAGCAATTTTGTATGATGATCAACTGTGAATGACTTGATTATTCTGATTAATGGAATGATCTAAGACAATTCCAAAGGACCCATGATAAGTGCTGTCCATCTCCAGAGAGAACTAATGGAGTCTGAGTACAGATTGAAGCATAATTTTTTTCACTTTCTTTAATTTTCTTGCTTTTCTGGTTTTGGGGGTTTATTGATTTATTAATTTTTGCAAACATGGCTAATATGGAAAGATTTTACATGTATAATTGTTATCACATTTCTTCCCTTTTCAATGGGTGAGGGAGGGGAGGAAGAGAATTAAGAATTCAAAAAAAATTTAATAAATGTTTCAAATAAAATTTATTACAATAAAAATAAAGTCCACTCTAGTTCAGACACCTGCAATAACCTCCTAATTGCCCCCCTTACCTCAATTCTCTCCTTCACATAGTCACCAAAGTAATTATCCCAAAACATAGATCTGACTATGTCACCCTCCCATATTCCACAAAATCCCATTTACTCCCTACCTTGAAGATCTAATATAAACTCCTGGCCTTTAAAGCTCTTCACAACCTGATCTCATCCCACTTTTCTAGCTGCGTTTACTTTCCTCCATGCATGTGATAATCAGGCCATACTGGCCTTATTTCCATTCTCCAGACATAACACTCCAGCTCCCATCTCCACACATATGCATGCACTGCCCAATGCCTTAAATGCTCTGCCTCCTTCACTCACCTCCATATCTTGAAATCTCTGGTTTCCTTCAAGAGTTAGAGTAAATGCCACCATATGCATGAGGACTTTCCTGGTTCACCTACCAACCTATTAGCATCTTTTTCCTCACTAAGGTTATCTATATGTACGTGTTACCTCTGCTGTTAGAATCTAAACTTGAAGGCAGGAGCTGTTTTGCATTTGTCTTTGGTATCCCAAGAACTAGCCCAGGACCTGGAACAAAATAGGTGATTAATAATTTTTTTTAATTGATTGATTTAACAACATACTGGAGCTCAGTTTTTATGTAAATTAGTTTATCGGAAGAACTGGATTTTGTTGCCATTCACTTAACACCTTTGTTTTTAACCCTCATAGGTACTAAGTACAGAGTCTGTGGCAATGGAAACTCTCCCCAGTGCCCTAAATGCAGATGAGAAGTCTCCAGAGTCTAAGGACTTATTGCCCAGTCAGACAGCTAGTTCTCTCTGCATTAGCTCCCGGAGTGAATCAGTCTGGACAGCTGGAAGCAAGAATAATTGGGAAATCTTCCGTAAGCCCATCATCGTCATGTCTACAGGTGGGGCTATCTTCCTCTTCGGCGCAGTCATCACTTGCTTGTCATACACTCTGGATTTACCTAAAAACTCAAGCGTCCTTATTGGTTATCAGATGAGTGGGCCAGCCTTCCTTTCCCTAGGACTCATGCTTATGGTGTGTGGACTGGTGTGGGTACCCATAATTAAAAAAAAAATGAAGCAGCGACAAAAGTCAGTTTTCTTTCAAAGCCTCAAATCCTTTTTCCTGAATCGCTGATGATAGCCTCATCTTCACTTTGGTTGGGGGAATGTAGTCTAATGACCAGCATCCAATGCCTCCAGCTGCATGGTGAGATAGGTAAAGAAAATAGATCCAGTAAAAGTCTTTTCTTACTTTTATGAGGAAGAAAGGATTTTCATTCCTTCACGGCACTCCCAGTTTGGAACGACATAGATTGAGAAGCTGAGCTTTGCTGGGTTATGTCCCAAAATATCATCTATTTAGTCTTTCTATTACCATTGATGCTTGAAACACTTCCTAACAGCAAGCACCACCTCTTATCCCCTTCACCCATTGCCCCTTTTATGTACTTCATCTCAACAACCTTCTCTCTCCTGAGCCATATGCTAGAGCAAACTGAACTTCAAGAAGAAGCTTCTTTTTACATACCTGACTGCCAGAGTGGGATAGATAGAACCCTTGTCTAGGCCTTTGAACTTGGACATCGAGATGGAGGAGGGGACTGGGCAGTACATCTTTCAGACTTGGAGTTTGACATCTAGCCCCACCCCCATCAACTCTCTTGGAGAATTGAGACATTGAGTTGCTTCCAGTAGACCAGACTGGTCTTGCTACCAGTGACATCTTCAAACATTCCAAAGATTAAAAGGGGGAAGGGAGAATGGGTGTATAATTACATAGGTAAATTCATGAGATAAATAGGTCATTGCCAAGAACAGTTTAGATAGTATCCACAGACCTCAGAGTCACCAGTTCTTTCTTGACTACCTGACTTTTTTTTTCTTTTCCTTCTGCATTCAATGAGCAGTTATTCTGTGATCTACCAACAAATGTATAATATCCTAACACTCCAAACCATTTTAGGAAGAGAAGCAGATCCCAAACCTGAGCTAGGCATCTGTGGTATCAATTTTCTTTGCAACTCTGTCAAAAGTAAAAAAAAAAAAAAGATAAAGTGCCATATGAGAAGAGTCTGCTGATTCATAGAAAGTGGTAATCCACCTCCTAAAGTTTTATCAATAGTTGCATCTATCTGAAATGAGAAATTCTCAGCCAGAAGGGACCTGGAAGCTATTTGTGGCAGCTCTGGCTCAGGAGTCAATAGAACTAGGACCTCCATTGTGTTAAATGTATGTCTTTCCTGCACCATCCCCTCCATGCCCTTCCTCCAAAAAATGTCCTAGTAACCTTTCTCCACAGGGCCTTTAATATATGTCTGCTTGCCATAATTAGTTCTCTAAGTGCCTTATACTTTTTTCCTAGGTTGCTGAGAAGGAACTGGAGGCTTGTTTCTCCAAATTCTTTATAGAGGTTTGTGGATAGTATATTATTCTAGACACTTTCCACCCTCCTCAGTACAGAGCCATGAGAAAGGATCACCCTCAGATGCTTGGACTTCTCTCTTGACTTCCTAAGCACTATAGACACTTGATAAACAGAAGCCAAGGTTAACCTATGAGAGTGAGGTTTCCACCCTACTGCCACTGGTTCCCTCTGGAGATTTTCTCTCACCTGAGAGAAATCTGGTGATTAGGTAGGGCAAGAATTACATAAAATTAGAGCGAAGCCATCTCCCTAATTCTAAAGATGAGGACCAGAAAAGGAAAGTAAATTGCCCAAGGTTACAAAACAAAGTAATGATTCTTACCCATCAGTCTTGAATGGCAACTAGCTCTGCTAGGTTTTATCAGTATTTGAGCTCTATCAAGATATGATCTTATTTATCCCTGAAAAATGTCCCAATCCTAAACAATTTCCCTTTAACTAGTTTCAGCAGACCAGAATGGTACAGAAGGAGCACTCAAATAAATCAGAGGGTGTAAGTTCAAAATCTGCCTCTACCTCCTTGCTACCTGAATGATCTTAGGCTAATTATTTATCTGCAAAATTAGGGTATTGGATTGCTTAAGTCCCTCCCAATTTATATGATGCCTATGCTTTCTTTAGTCTATTTGCAGCAGCAAATGCAAAGGCACTGTTTGCATTTGCAAATGCAAATGCCAGCTCTACTCTGGGCCCCTCCAAGAGACACAAGGATGGGAAGGAATTCCATGCCACAGGGGGAGGGCTACTCTCCTCTGTGTCATTAGCAAGCCTCTGCTGATGCTCTGTGATCTGGTAAACCCTATGAGACCTGCACAGGGTCTGGTGCAACTTCTATTTAAGTGGATAGTAGTGTAGATAATTTTCTCTGAACAATTTGATTTACATGTGTCCCAAGGCCTCCAGCTGTCTAGTCTTCCATTGCTTCTAAATTGTACCTTCTCACTTCATATGTGAGGACAAAGGACAAAAGCATGTGACTGTGAGCTATGGGGTCCACAGGTTCACTCTGAGGAAGAACAGCCTAGTGACTACTGGCCAAAGATCTCAACTTATTCAATGATGAGCAGTGAATTTCTGAAAAATAAGAAGCAATTCAAACATAGTGTTACATTTAAGAAAGAAAAAAAATCCACTTACAATTCACCTCCTTTGTAATCTTGAAGAGAGGGGGCAGGATTAGCATCAGTGTTCTACTCTGTTATATAAGCTTTTATAATATACTATTGCTGTGTTTGGGGAAAACTGATTTTATCTGTGACCTATCCAAATCTGTATAATAATGAGCCATGTTATAACAAGGTTTGCTGTATTTTCATTTCATTGTATTAATAATCCTGCTGCCTGCTGCCAAATTCTCTTCCCCAAAATGTCATCCCCTTTTCCTCACCTTTCCCCTCCTTGCCAATTCAAATCTTCTCCACCATCTTTACCATAAACATCTTTCAATTCAAGAACGTATTTGCAGAAAGCAGAGCCTGAGTCTGATGCATAGATTCTTGGGTGCCTCTGTGGTGGATTCGTTCTAGTCCAACCCTTACATGTTACAAGAATCCCTTTCACAGAATTCCCAATTCTGCCAATCAGTCTCTGAAAAAAAAGAGTTCTAATAATGGGGAACTCTGGCTTTCAAGGCAACCAAAGCCATTGTTAGATAATTCCAATTGTTAGAAAGTTCTTCTACTGAGCTAAACTTGACCACTTTTATAACTTCTATGCACTGATTCTAGTTTTGCCCTTAAGAACTGCACTAGAAGAAATCTGACTCCTTCATGGGTCTGACCCCTAGCTATGTTCTTCTACTAACTTATTACCAACTACAGAACAACAGAGGGTTAAGCTTTGGCCAGCTTTAGAGGAGTAAAATGAGGAGGGCTAGGGAAATATCATGCTGTACTAAGAAGACCACTAGACTATAAAGGGATCTAGATTTGATCTCCATTCTTCTACTAAACAAATTGTGTAATCTTTGACAGATCACTTAACTCTGAACCCTAGTTGCCTCATCTCTAATATGGTGATTAGAAGGAGGTAGGGCTTACTATAGTTAGAATGGGCTATGATTTGAGGCTCCTTCAGACCTAACACACTGAAATTCTAATTTTAGAATCATTCCTTTAATAATAATTGTTCCTGAGTAAAATGAAAATCTCTTGAGAGATGAATAGATGAAGCTATTATCATCATAAACTTATTTGCTCTTTTCCAAAAGAGAACTCTCTGAGAACTAGTTCTGAGAAGGCTAAAAGAGGGTTCAGAGGAAGGAGAACTGTACAAGGAAAAACAGACCCAGAGTATGAGGCCTAGAACAATGGAACAGAAAAGTACCCAAAGGGCAGCTAGGTGGTGCAGTGAATAGAGCTCTGCCCTTGGAGTCAGGAAGACCTGAGTTCAAATCCAGACTCAGACACTTAACACTTACCAGCTATGTGACCCTGGGCGAGTCACTTAACCTGATCACCTCATCAAAAAGCAAAAAAAAACAGTGCCCAAGAGACAAAAGTGCTCTAGGTAGTGAAGAAAGAGTGAAAGGGTACTCTTTGATTGTTTTTCTCTGATTGATTAAGGTCCCTTAGCCTTGTACATTCAGAGCTTCAGAAACAACTACTATCCAAGAACAAGAGGCTAATAGTGCCCTTTTAAAATGGGAACATCAGTCAACTAATTAATCAACAAATATTTATCAGACATTTGCAATATGATCAACATTGTACCCTGGGATGAAACTGTACAATTATTAAATATCCTGGAGTTTTCTTGACCCAGATTTGAGTAAAAATTAGGGATGATATTACTGTTAGTGTTGGCTTTAAGGTTAGATGGTATCAATATTATTTAGGAATTATGGTTTACTGTGTGCCAGGCACTGTAATAAGTGATTAGGATATAAAGAAAAGCAAAATCGCAATCCCTTCCTTTAAGATGCTCACATTCTAATGATTTAGATAGTATCCCCATCAGAGTTTGTTTATGTTTGGATTGGGGTATAGGATCATGGGATGCTTAGAACTGTAGGAATCTATATAATTCTTTTTTCCCCCAACAAACTCCTGTTAAATTACTACTCTTCATACATACAAAATTTTGATAAGGTATGTTACTGCCCTCATGGAGCTCACAAGTCTAGTAAAAAGATAAGATACAAACACAGATAAGTACATTGCCTCATGTATAAGTGCAAAAATTCATCAGAAAAGCACTAATTAGTATTATTTTTTGTGCCAAGCACTATGTCAGGTCCTGTAGATACAGAGACAAAAATGCAATAGTCCCAAGAACTTTACACACTATTGGGAGGAGATGACATGAACTGACATAAACAAATACAAAAGAAAGGCACTAGACACTGGACACATCAACATCGGCCACAGCACCTGAGCTGAACCTGGAAGCTGGACATTCCTTAAGGTAAAGGTAAGAAGAGAGTGCATTCCAGGCATGGCAAATGGGAGATGGATTGTCATGCAAATGACATGAAGTTTTAGGTAGTCCGGATGTAACCCGAGGATTTTCAGGAAAAGAGCAAACCAAGTGCTCAAATGATATACTATCAGTAACAGCGTAAAGAGCCCCTTTCCTCATTGATATATGTGTGTCCATATGCACATGAATATGCTAATAATTAAAAATGTGTATGGTAAGCAAGCAGGAGAGACTGCATGATGCTAGATGAACCCTGCATAAAAAGAACTGGTTGCAGACTACAGTGGTCTAGGGATTTGATAGCCACAACAGAAAATCTAGTGTTTCAACGTTTAGCATTTGCCTGGGGCTTAGAAACAATCTGCTATAGCAGCAGGTTCATACATGAATAGTCAAAACCAGAAACAAGTTATGCCCCTGGCTATACCTGAGGCAGATGAACAACAGGGAGAAAATGGAGATAACGATAGAGTCCAAATTCTGAATAGCCTGTCCCATGTGTTTCAGTGACATTACAACCAATGAATTTGCCTCCTCCTTCTTCCTCTTACCCCATATTTCCCTTGCCACTCAATTGTATGGCATACTTTCCTCTTGCCTTTTAAATAAAGAGAATTGGTATTATGGAATCTGCACTTTTTTTTCCCTAACCAGCAATGGGAAGTTAGGTTCTGACAAAAAAGAGATGAGGACAGAGAAACAACTATATTGTAGGAAACTCAGAGGAGTCCATGGTAGGTAATATGCATATTCTCCAAAGCCACCTCAAGGGCATTTCTGTGTTACCTAAACTGGCCATGACTAGACAAACTCAGGTTACACATAGAACCCCTGAAATCTATGAAAACTCTGGCTCTGGAGCCCTTTCCTACTTTGCTTAGGTTCAGGGTGATTGTTTTAGGTAGTAAACTATGGCAATTCATAGCCTGAGTTCCTCCTCAGTATCATATTCTATCATTCAACCATGTAAGAGACACCAATTCAATAACAAAATTATGTAATTGAGATCAAAAGCAAGGTAAATAACAAATAAGAGAATCTAATAGTAGAGTAATTTTCTTCCCACATATAGATGGATATAACATTCTATTCATCCTCATATGAGGTTTGGGATTGAAACCTCCTAGGGAAATTTTACCATTCCATTACCAACTGTCAATTAGTTTCTCATCCCTATTCTCATTCAGAGAATGAATGGCCAGTGTAGAGATCTACTAATCTCTTGGGACAGGGAAGAATCTGATGAATCCTCCCAACTTGATTCTGGAGTCATAAGAATTTTATTGGGACCCCCTCCCATCTATGGGAATGTGCAGATCCTCCTTCTTTCTCTCTCTCTCTGTCTCTTTCTCTTTCTCCCCCTCTTTTTTTTCCTCCCCCCATCAATGAAAACACACTTCCCAGTCCACTACTCCCTTATATGTGTGTTCTGTTCCCCTACTGCTTTTGTATTTGTATCCCCTAGGCTTAATACATAGTAAACACTTAATCATTGCTTTTCATTCATTCATTCATCTGACCTAGAGAAAATCTGAGTAGAGGGAGGGTAGTGAAAATGGGAAGACAACACTAACAAAAAAAAAGAAAGAAAGAAATCCCTACATTTTCAGTGAGATGGCTACCCTCAGCTTGTGTGAAGGCACATAGGGTGGAGAATGGAGAAGAGAGTAGAAAGATTCTATAGGTCTGTGAACTTGGATGGGGGGAAAAATTACATTTTTATTTTCACCAAGCTCTAACTGAAATTTAGCATTTGTTTTAATCATTTAAAAACATAATTCTGAGAAAAACTTCACCACAGGCTTCACTGGACTGTCAAAAGGTCCATCACACACACACATACACATACACACACACACACACACACACGCACACACACACACAGAGGTTAAGAACCCGTGATCTAGGCAGAATGGAAAGGAAACAGTTCCTATGGTAAATATGAGCCCCTGTCTGTGTTTCAAGGACAATGTCCTGGTAAACATTAATTCATCCATAGGTTTCTTTAGCTGGCTATTTGGACTTTTTTTTTTATAACAGTGCTCACAATAAGAACTTACACAAAAAAATACCATAAAAATAATTGCAGCTTATGTCTCATTTCCTGTTTCAGAGGATGAGAAGGTAGAGAAATTCTTTGAGGAACTACACAAGATCCTCCAAATTAATCAATATATACATTGATTTTTATTTTGTTTCATGGGTTGCTATGACCAAAGAATTCATCACCAAGTTGCCAGAATACTAGCAGAATACTAGTCTTCTCTGTACATAACTAGGTATGTCATTGGAAAACCAGTCTCCATAGACCACACAATTGTTAGAAAGATGCATAAAATACAAAATTCCAAGGTGCTTATTATTTGTGGGTTACACAAAAATATTTGATTTAGTACAGCAAATCACCTCCTTAAAGTCTTTGCTCTAAGAAGATATGTAACAGAAATAACTTTGTTCAAGGATGCTCTGATCATTACCAACCAACAAACAAAATGGGCAGACATATTGTGGACCTGGCATGGGCATGAAGCACTGTTGTGGTAGAGGTCCAAGACATAGTCCAAACTGAAGAGAGATTCCTTACTGGTAGTGAGGTCCTTCTGATGCTCTTATTTGTGGAAGGCACTGGGCTTATTACATTAAGGCCTCTGACACTGCAGAGTCTCCTGGACTTAATACATATTAAGAACTCAAATGATTTTGATTTAATTATCCAGACAGGAAAAAGACAAGTGGTTGAAGATTGCCTATTGTTCTGACCATACCATACAGCCACATGGATAACTCATAAAGCTTGTTTATTAGATACATTGGACAGCCATTTGACATGTCTATTTGTCTAT